TTCTCCACATACCTCAACCCTCTGTTTCTCCACTCACCTCAACCCTCTGTTTCTCCACAATGCTGGTCACTTGTCCAAGCAGGTCATCAAGCTTAGTCTCCGTAGCATCTTTACCCATAGAAGCAAGGGAGAGCGCTCGATCAAGGGGAAAGAAATCATAATTCTCTTTACCAAGCTGGGAATAGGAAACAGTCATGGAACATGTTATTACAGAGACGAGTAGGCCCTGTTGTTAATAATTACAGAAACATCTAGGCCCTGTTGTTAATAATTTTACAGTCAGAAATTAATGAGAGGAATGGCAATGATGGAGCAACTACTTTATTGTGACATTTGGCAACAGATTAAACATATTTTAAAAAAATCTGATTGCGGCTAATTTTTTTAAAGCATGAGGTCATGTCCAAACTTATGTTCACAAGGTTGTAGAGAAAAACTTTAAGTAATTACACAGTAACCTGCTTTTTTGTGATCTTGGACACAGAAGATCTTTTATAGGGAGTATATTTTAATTTTTGTGTGTTAAAAATGGCTTTGCTAAAGATTTTATGGACACTCCAATGACAGATTAAACAAATATTTATTAATCTGAAATTATGTAGGATGTAAAACTCACCAGTTTGAAGACATACATCTCAAGGGCCGTGTAGTCATTAACTTTGGTGCCATTGAGGTGAATGAAGAAGAAAATATAGGACCACATGTTGTGTTCGTAGCGTACGTGGTGATCGAATCCCTAGGAGAAAAGTGCATAGGCAATTCAAGTAAATACAATATTTTACTTTTAACATTGGAAGTAAACAAAAACATTAACTTAGATTTTTAAAAAGTCTTTTAAGGCCATTAAGAACAATTTTGCAGAAAATTTTGAAATGCTCTTCCCAGTGAAGATAAACTTATGTCTTGTACAGATATTTTGTTTTATTTGAATTTTGCTCCAGCTGACGTAAGATTTTGAATGGAAAATTTTTATTTATTTTGACATGAAGTATTCTGAGGCTCACTCCATTTGATGGTTAGTTTTTGGATCTGGACAAAACTAAAACCAAAATATTTTCCACAAATAAATTGGAAAAAAAAAGGATTTGAGCAAAGCATATTCAAAAAAGGATGTTTGAAATCTAACAATTATTAATAAAAGTACAGTCAGTTTTTTTTGTTGTCTACAATGCATCACAGATAATGAAAGTAAAAGTAGCTTACAGTTACAGCCCTTTGTTTTCTTCTTTTTTTGGCCAAAGCAACATTTTAACAAATATTTTAACACCACATTTAAAAATAAAATCATAAATTGTAAGTCTGGAGTTATCATTAGAGAAAACAAACAAAATTGAATAACTGTTGAGAGCAAGCCCAAATCTAACATTTATTTAAATTAATCTCATAGTTTATAAGCTTTTGATGAAAACCTTGGCTCCACTAAGAAAGTGCGTCATACTCCCCCAAAACAGAAAACCAGGAAACTGGAGCGGGATCTCAAGCATTTCATTGGGGTCTCTAAATGACAGCTTAATCATAAGCGGGATCTCAAGCATTTCATTGGCGGGTCTCTAAATGAGATCTCAATGTGGAGCGGGATCTCAAGCATATCATTGGGGTCTCTAAATGAGAGCTCAATGACACTGAGTACAAATACTGATGATTAAATTCAGCTAGGATAACATTCATTTTTAAAATTTTCATGGCCAAAGCAGTGAAAGAGCAATTTAAAAAATAACAACTAAACATGCCAATTTAATCCAATAAAAAACAACTCATCATCATGATAATAAACATACAGAAGAGAGCATCACATTTATAATACTGTCAAATAAACTCATCATGATCAACAAATAAAATAGGGCATCACATTTCTAATACCATTTCTCATATTTCCATCAACTTCCTAATTGCGCACAATTTAATTTCGTGGTGCGGTCAAAAAGTTAAAAATAATTTATCTAAAAATCATGAGATATTTAAAGATCCACGAGCATGCTTACATGCTTTCAATATTTCTTCAAAGAAATAGATGGCGTGTAATGTGCGAGCACATGTGACATTGACACAATTCATCATATGATCCAGTATCAAGAAAGAACATGACAAACAAGAAAGTTTTTCTTTAGAAATCCAGTCATTCAGGTATTGACCATGCCAAGTAAAATTGAACGCAGAGAGAGAGAAAGGAAAACATGTCCATTCAAATGGAACAATTTAGAGTAGAACAATGGCCACAAAGAAAGAGAAGAATTTGTCTTGAGAGTTTCATATCAACTGAAAAAAAGGTGTTTTTTTTGTTGTTTTTTTGACATTGAAAAGATCTGAATGTCATGCAGAGGAACACACGAGCTGTCACCTTAACTGTACGAACTATGAGACCATCCTTAAGATAAACAAGTCCACACAAGGTGCACAGTGTTAGCCATGAAAATCATTTCAAACAGAAAAACTCTAGTCTGTAAGCATTTTTGACAAGGACAAAAATATGGTATGAATGAAAGATTCTCTCTCAGCTCTTGACTCCTGTTTGATTTGTAAAATTTCTCCTGTTGACATGCCAAGGTTTAAATACTTACCTTTTCTTAAATTAGACATTTTTAACAAAAAAGTTGAAAAATAAAAATCCTTTCTCAATGAGACTAGACTAAGAGTTAAATTATCTACCCTTACAATAAATTGAACTTCTCCAGAATTCAGAAGCATCTATCTACATATCAATGTTCATATGTCACACATGATGTGTTGTTTAATTATTACACACGATATATTTTTTAATTATTATATATGATGTGTTGTTTGTCATAGATGATGTGTTGTTGAATTGTTACCAAAAGATGTGTTGTTAATTGTTACAGATAATTTAATTGTTACACATGATGTGTTGTTTAATTTTTACAGATGTGTCAATTGTTATAGATGATGTTGTTTAATTGTTATACATAATGTGTTGTTGAATTGTTACACATGATGTGTTGTTTGTTACAGGTGATGTGTTGTTTAATTGTTACACATAATGTGTTGTTGAATTGTTAGACATGATGTGTTGTTTGTTACAAGTGATGTGTTGTTGAATTACTACAGATGATGTGTTGTTTGTTATAGATGATGTGTTGTTTTTCTTAGATGATGTGTTGTTGAATTGTTACATATGATGTGTTGTTTAATTGTTAAAGATGATTTTATTTTACAGATGATGTGCTGTATAATTTTTACAGATGATGTGTTGATCAATTGTTACAGATGATGTGTTGATCAATTGTTACAGATGATGTGTTAGGTTGTTTGATTGTTACTTGTTTAGTGTTGATTAATTGTTATAGATGGTTTGGTTTATAATTGTTACAGTTGATGTGTTGTTATGCGATGGTAACCAAATCTCAATGAGACAGTTTCATCAACATATCTTATTCATTAAATCAATCTAATATAATTTTTTTTGTACTTAAACTTAAAGGAGATTTACATTAAAAAAAAAAATGAAAGGCAATATGGTGTCACTAAATAATCCAATGAAGACCTACCTTCCCATGATGTTCAAAGTCGTATGAGTTTCTGCTGCAGATGAAGCATGTGTCTCTCATGTCAGATTCAGCAGTCCACTGAGGAAGTCCATCACGACAGTTAGCAATATGTTATCATAGCAATATGTTATCATAGCAATATGTTATCATAGCAATATTTTATCATAGCAATATGTTATCATAGCAATATGTTATCATAGCAATATGTTATCATAGCAATATGTTAATCATTCATAATATTAAAAGAAATTAAAACATAGTGATTGAAGTTGAATCATGGAGACTTGTGGTCATAGCCATAGAGCAATTTGTAAGTATCTAGAACACCTTTCTTCCCAGCCCCTACAGAGCTGATGTGTTGAATGACCGTCTAGCCCCTACAGAGCTGATGTGTTGAATGACCGTCTAGCCCCTACAGAGCTGATGTGTTGAATGACCATCTAGCCCCTACAGAGCTGATGTGTTGAATGACCGTCTAGCCCCTACAGAGCTGATGTGTTGAATGACCGTCTAGCCCCTACAGAGCTGATGTGTTGAATGACCGTCTAGCCCCTACAGAGCTGATGTGTTGAATGACCGTCTAGCCCCTACAGAGCTGATGTGTTGAATGACCGTCTAGCCCCTACAGAGCTGATGTGTTGAATGACCGTCTAGCCCCTACAGAGCTGATGTGTTGAATGACCGTCTAGCCCCTACAGAGCTGATGTGTTGAATGACCGTCTAGCCCCTACAGAGCTGATGTGTTGAATGACCGTCTAGCCCTACAGAGCTGATGTGTTGAATGACCGTCTAGCCCCTACAGAGCTGATGTGTTGAATGACCGTCTAGCCCCTACAGAGCTGATGTGTTGATTTATTCAAGCAACATAACAAAAGATTCAGGTTTCTTATTATCTATTGACTCCATGTGCGTGAGAGTGAAAACGCATAAGAAATAATCTCTGGTGTTCAGAATGAACTAGACGTGTCCAGCAATCCTACACATACTATAGTTACACAAATATAGTTACACAACTCCTAGCAAAAAATGGACCAAGTTCCTATTCCATCCACAGAAAAATTGTCACTCTCTCAATACAACTATCATTGTCACACACTCTTTTTTCCTCACATAGTTTTTACCCACACACCGCCACGATGACTGAGGCAATTTGTGGGATTCAATGGCAAAATCTAAAGGAAAAAAACACTCTTTCTCACTTAACCTCATCTTAACAAACACAAAACCATATTGCTCGATCTGATCATGACAATGTGGATTATTTAAATGGAAATTTTAGGAGATCTATTTGTGATATTTTATATTGAAATATTTGGAGATCCATTTGTGAATAATTTAAATGGAAATCGTTGGATATCTATTTGTGGATTATTTTAAATGGAAATCTTTGGATATCTATGTATTATTTTAAATGGAAATCTTAGGAGATCTATTTTAACAGGTTGAATAAATGACAAAACTTTATTTTTAAAAAGTAGAAGATAATGGACGCTATTGCTAGCTGCTCGCTCGTGAACCCACCTTTAAATCTCTCAACTCTGAGAATGTGTCGACGATGATACCAAAGATGATGTTCAGGCCGATGGTGGTGATGAAGATGAAGAAGGACACATGGTAGAACACCACGATGCCAAACCTTTCAAACGTCTTCTCGTTGCTGTGAGGCTTCATCACCTTGATGAGAAAATTCACCACACAGATTGATGATTAATCCCAAAGGAATTTACAAGTTAAGTCTCAAAAACTTTTTTCAACCATATTGTGCAGTCAGTATGTCACAGCAAATATCAATTTATTGAAAACTATAACAAAACTAGGTCACCACTATCGGAATATTCCAGGAGAGCGTATTAAATGTTAGGGAATTAACAATTTTTTTTAAAATGGGAAATGACTGAAAGGTTTGAAAAGTTTAAGATACTTTCACAGTGGCTGATATTCTTTCTTGTTACAGTTTAGCATAGTGGCTGATATTCTTTCTTGTTACAGTTTAGCATAGTGCCTGATATTCTTTCTTGTTACAGTTTAGCATAGTGCCTGATATTCTTTCTTGTTACAGTTTAGCATAGTGGCTGATATTCTTTCTTGTTACAGTTTAACATAGTGCCTGATATTCTTTCTTGTTACAGTTTAGCATAGTGGCTGATATTCTTTCTTGTTACAGTTTAGCATAGTGCCTGATATTCTTTCTTGTTACAGTTTAGCATAGTGCCTGATATTCTTTCTTGTTACAGTTTAGCATAGTGCCTGATATTCTTTCTTGTTACAGTTTAGCACAGTGCCTGATATTCTTTCTTGTTACAGTTTAGCATAGTGCCTGATATTCTTTCTTGTTACAGTTTAGCATAGTGCCTGATATTCTTTCTTGTTACAGTTTAGCATAGTGCCTGATATTCTTTCTTGTTACAGTTTAGCATAGTGCCTGATATTCTTTCTTGTTACAGTTTAGCATAGTGCCTGATATTCTTTCTTGTTACAGTTTAGCATAGTGCCTGATATTCTTTCTTGTTACAGTTTAGCATAGTGCCTGATATTCTTTCTTGTTACAGTTTAGCATAGTGCCTGATATTCTTTCTTGTTACAGTTTAGCATAGTGCCTGATATTCTTTCTTGTTACAGTTTAGCATAGTGCCTGATATTCTTTCTTGTTACAGTTTAGCATAGTGCCTGATATTCTTTCTTGTTACAGTTTAGCATAGTGCCTGATATTCTTTCTTGTTACAGTTTAGCATAGTGCCTGATATTCTTTCTTGTTACAGTTTAGCATAGTGCCTGATATTCTTTCTTGTTACAGTTTAGCATAGTGCCTGATATTCTTTCTTGTTACAGTTTAGCATAGTGCCTGATATTCTTTCTTGTTACAGTTTAGCATAGTGCCTGATATTCTTTCTTGTTACAGTTTAGCATAGTGCCTGATATTCTTTCTTGTTACAGTTTAGCATAGTGCCTGATATTCTTTCTTGTTACAGTTTAGCACAGTGCCTGATATTCTTTCTTGTTACAGTTTAGCACAGTGCCTGATATTCTTTCTTGTTAAAGTTTAGCATAGTGCCTGATATTCTTTCTTGTTACAGTTTAGCATAGTGCCTGATATTCTTTCTTGTTACAGTTTAGCATAGTGCCTGATATTCTTTCTTGTTACAGTTTAACATAGTGCCTGATATTCATTCCTTTTTACAGTTTAGCATAGTGCCTGATATTCTTTCTTGTTACAGTTTAGCATAGTGCCTGATATTCTTTCTTGTTACAGTTTAGCACAGTGCCTGATATTCTTTCTTGTTACAGTTTAGCACAGTGCCTGATATTCTTTCTTGTTAAAGTTTAGCATAGTGCCTGATATTCTTTCTTGTTACAGTTTAGCATAGTGCCTGATATTCTTTCTTGTTACAGTTTAGCATAGTGCCTGATATTCTTTCTTGTTACAGTTTAACATAGTGCCTGATATTCATTCCTTTTTACAGTTTAGCATAGTGCCTGATATTCTTTCTTGTTACAGTTTAGCATAGTGCCTGATATTCTTTCTTGTTACAGTTTAGCATAGTGCCTGATATTCTTTCTTGTTACAGTTTAGCATAGTGCCTGATATTCTTTCTTGTTACAGTTTAGCATAGTGCCTGATATTCTTTCTTGTTACAGTTTAGCATAGTGCCTGATATTCTTTCTTGTTACAGTTTAGCATAGTGCCTGATATTCTTTCTTGTTACAGTTTAGCATAGTGCCTGATATTCTTTCTTGTTACAGTTTAGCATAGTGCCTGATATTCTTTCTTGTTACAGTTTAGCATAGTGCCTGATATTCTTTCTTGTTACAGTTTAGCATAGTGCCTGATATTCTTTCTTGTTACAGTTTAGCATAGTGCCTGATATTCTTTCTTGTTACAGTTTAGCATAGTGCCTGATATTCTTTCTTGTTACAGTTTAGCATAGTGCCTGATATTCTTTCTTGTTACAGTTTAGCATAGTGCCTGATATTCTTTCTTGTTACAGTTTAGCATAGTGCCTGATATTCTTTCTTGTTACAGTTTAGCATAGTGCCTGATATTCTTTCTTGTTACAGTTTAGCATAGTGCCTGATATTCTTTCTTGTTACAGTTTAGCATAGTGCCTGATATTCTTTCTTGTTACAGTTTAGCATAGTGCCTGATATTCTTTCTTGTTACAGTTTAGCATAGTGCCTGATATTCTTTCTTGTTACAGTTTAGCATAGTGCCTGATATTCTTTCTTGTTACAGTTTAGCATAGTGCCTGATATTCATTCCATTTTACAGTTTAGCATAGTGCCTGATATTCTTTCTTGTTACAGTTTAGCATAGTGCCTGATATTCTTTCTTGTTACAGTTTAGCATAGTGCCTGATATTCTTTCTTGTTACAGTTTAGCATAGTGCCTGATATTCTTTCTTGTTACAGTTTAACATAGTGCCTGACATTCATTCCTTTTTACAGTTTAACATAGTGCCTGCTATTCATTCCTTTTACAAGTGAAAATGTTACATTTTTGGCTTGTATAAAAGCAAAGTATGAGTTGAACATTCTTAGTCTTTAAAATCGTTATTACTTACACAAAAAATGAAAGTAATGAAATTTTTAATTCGTCCCTGCCCCTTATTTTAAATTTTTCTTCAAATTTTTAAAAATTACATGATCCCAAGATGTGCCTCACCTCAAACAAATCCCCAATGAGGCCGTAGCGTATGACCGTGATGGTGCACTGCCAGAGAGTGTTGCAGTACAGGTACTCCCCGGGGTTGAACATGCTCCTCATCAGGGCAAACCCAATCATACCATAGAGGTAGAAGACGACCAGGCCCAGCACTCCCACCCACAGCAGGGATTTACCTGGAAACAAAACATTTGCACAAGTTGGGAGAAGTGTTGCATTATGGGAGGTGTGTTAAAATTATGGTTCTCAGCCTCCTCTGTCCTTATTTCAAGTTGATTCCCAGCTAATAAAGTAAGAGATGTTTTACATTATGGTTCTCAGTCTCCTCTGTGCTTATTTCAAGTTCTTTCATTAATTGCAATACAGACCTATTTACCCTCAAACTCTTAAAATCGTACAATATCATCACAAAATCGTTCAATACATTATCGTAATAGTAAAAAAATAAACATAATTATATATAACAGACCTGTTTACTCTTACATTTTTGGCGTACAATGTACGATTTTGAGGGGTATACATTATATATACTGTATATTTATGTTTTACTAATAAATATTAGGTATTGAACGATTTTGTTATCATATTGTAGGATTTTAAGAGTTTGAGGGTAAACTGGTCTGATATAATGTATACACCTCAAAATCGTCCATTGTAAGTCAAAATCGTAAAACTAAACAGATCTGGCAATATGATGATGACAATTGAGAATTTTATAGAGCTTGTGTTCATGCCATTTCAGCAAGCTCACAGTGCTCTGATGTCCTAAAATCTTTTTAAAGAAAAAGTCTTTAAATGGTTCTCAAATGACATTTTATCATTTTCAATGAGCCTCAAAGATTTAGGCAAACTGTTCCACAATTTAGGCGCAATGGCTTCAAAAGAGTGCACAAGAGTATTGAGAAATACCACTACTGACCATTTTGGGTGACGGCCTTGATGACCCCACTCAGCAGTTGGTTGTTGTTGACGATGTTGAGAAGGTGAAAGGCAAAGAAGTAGCCATTGGATAATGTGCCACCAATGGACAAGCCTAAGAAAACCTGTAAAAGTTTGTTTAAAAAAATTAATGTTTTCAAAACAGCTTAGGAATTTTAAAAAAATGAAGTTTTTCACATTTCTTTAAAATTATGCACAAGTGTTTGGTTTGAGTGAATGCTGTTTGGTTGTGATAGTTATTTGTACCTGGTCAAGGGTGGACAATCATAAGTTAGGTGAATTTTGATTGGTTCTGATGGTATTTTGTAACTAGTCAGGGGTAGACAATCATGAATTTAGGGAATGTTCATTGGTTCTGATAGTTTTTTTTTAATGCCTAGTCACGAGGCAGGGTATTAAGGAATAATGAAAATAGAAACAGTGGTCTGGAAAATGAACTTTTTTAAAGCAAGTATAAATTAAATACTTCCTAGTCCAGGAACATGCCCTAAACTTGTTTTCTTAATGGACCTACAGCATAGTAGAAGGTTGTAACACTGAAGAATCTAGCATCTAGTTTTGAGATGTGCTTTCTCTTCTTGTCCTCCTCTTCTTCATCATCTTGTTTTTTTCTCAGAGATGTTTTCCTACAAAGATGAGAGTTACAAATGTTTTAAAGAAAAATCCTGCTTATCTTTGTTTCTTTAACGCAGAGGACTTGACACAGTGCAATCGTGGTAGTCAGTCAGATTAGCCATCTGTACCAAGATGCACCATTTAGTGGTCAGAAAGGTTAGCCATCAGTACAAAGATGCACTATTTAGTGGTCAGTCAATTAACCATCAGTTCCAGGATTCACAATTCATAATTCAACTACTAACCTGGTGTTAAAACATACATGTATTGAGAATTTATTTTTAATATTTAGACTAGGAAAAATTGTACATTTGACTATTAAATGTGTGAATAGCCTCTTATTTTCAGCTTAATTTTATCCAATTCTAATACTTACATGCAAGCATTTACTCCATTTTTGATACTGGGAAGTCGTGGATGGTTGCACACAAAGTAGCTGACAAACACCAGCAGAGACAAGAAATTGTGACAGCCACCCATCACATACATGGAGATTTGGTAGTTGTTCTCACTCAGGGTAGAAATGGAAGGTCTTGGGCTAGAGGGTAACAAAATAAATATAGTTCTCACTAAGGGTAGAAATGGAAGGTCTTGGGCTAGAGGGTAACAAAATAAATATCGTTCTCACTAAGGGTAGAGATGGAAGGTCTTGGGCTAGAGGTTAAAAAAATAAATATAGTTCTCCCTCAGGGTAGAGATGGAAGGTCTTGGGCTAGAGGTTTTACAAAACTAAATATAGTTCTCACTAAGGGTAGAGATGGAAGGTCTTGGGTTAGAGGGTAACAAAACTAAATATAGTTCTCATACAGGGTAGAGATAGAAAGTCTTGGGTTAGAGGTTAACAAAATGAATTATAGTGTTTGCTGATTTTATTTTGATTTAGTTTAAGATATTTGCAACTGTGACATTGTCAAGATGTCTGTAGAGAGTCTACCACAAGTCTACCACAAATGTGCTTAAAATGAAATGTGTGACCAAAACAACAACTTTATTTAAATTTAACAGGTCAGCGTTGTGGATGCTTCAAAGTTTAAGGATAATTATTGCTTTCATTAAAGGATACTGATAGTATGTCTAAGATGATTAGGCTTGACAAAGAAATTGGCACATTCATGTCTCAGATTTTTGTAGTGGTAAAATCTCAATGCCCTCAATTGGAGACATGTCCAATAAAATATTAACAAGACATTTAAAACAATAAGAGCAAGTCCGTGTGAAAGCAAAGCTCCACAGAGACCATGTAACGCACTCAACCAAATCTAGTGGTATCCCCGTTGTGTTGTCCATGATGCCTGGTGTCTCCAGAGATCCCTTGGCCTCCCATGTGACCAGCATAAGAATGTTGATGGCAAAACTGAGAATGGTAACCAAATGGTTCCACACAAGCCTGAAAGAAATACGAGAAGTTTCAATTGTCACCCTCACTTTCTAGATGTTAACTTCAAATAAGCTTTTCATTTTTATATGGGGTGAACCCATAATATGGGGTTAAATCATAAATGAAAAATAATAAATCAAATTAACAACAAAAAAAAAGAAACAAAAAAACAAATTAGATTCTCTCAAAGTCAACCACAAATCTTTCATATGGCAATGTATTTATAAAATAAATTAATTTAGCTGGATCTCAGTTGATACTGTATTTCAATTGGACTGTGTTAAATAGTATCGCTATATTTAATACATAAGAATTTTTTTTTTGAAATGTTCAATTCTCAAATTTTTTTAAATTCCTTTTTTCAAACGTAATAAAATAAAAATTTGAGGTGTAATCTTTATTTTTGAAATTAAATAAGCACAGGGCAGACAGACATGGCACACGCAACATCAGTATGGCGCGACATTCAGTAAACAAAGGGAGAGCAACTATTCAGTAAACAAAGGGAGAGCAACTAATTCAGTAAACAAAGGGAGAGCAACTATTCAGTAAACAAAGGGAGAGCAACTATTTGGTAAACAAAGGTAGGGCAACTATTCAGCATTTTAAATACAAAAGAGAGCAAATAAATAAATAATCACACACCATCCTTTGGTTAACAGAATGGCAACTGGATTTTTGAGTATTTTCTGCTGGTAGGCAATATCTTTCATGATGTCTTTGGTCCAGCCCATGAGGTCCCTGATCTTGTTGCTGGGCGATGACCTGTCCACACCCCACTTCAGCTTTTCTTTTACTTCTTCTCGCAGGACACGCTATGGAAGGATTTTAAAAAAAAAAAAAATACATAGAAATAATGAGTACAAAAAAACAACAACATGCATGAAATTCATTGGTTAAAGACAATTAATTTCCAAGACAACCATGTGATTTTAAATATAATTAAACAAATCCTAAAGACAATTAATTTCCAAGACAACCATGTGATTTTAAATATAATTAAACAAATCCTAAAGACAATTAACTTCCAAGATAACCGTGTGATTTTAAATATAATTAAACAAATCCTAAAAACAAATTTTTTTTGTATAAATCCTTAACAAAATATAATATCGAGCAATGGTGACAGGGGCAGAAAATTGGCGGAAACATGCATACAAGTAATACAAGTAATGCTCTTTGTAAGAATCCCAATCAGTGCTCCCCCCCCCCCCCCCCCCCCCCCCCCACCAATCCACTGATCAATCCACTGATCAATCCACTGATCAATCCACTGATCAATCCACTGATCAATCCACTGATCAATCCACTGATCAATCCACTGATCAATCCACTGATCAATCCACTGATCAATCCACTGATCAATCCACTTTAACATCCCAGTTTTATTTCACCAACTATTTTCGAAAAACAAAGAAAATAATTTTATTTCAAGAATCTTATTTAGTGCAGTCATCTGGAATTTTATTTTGTGAAATAGGCGTCATCATATTTCCTTTGGTTTTCCCCTTTAAAAAAAAAAGGAAAAAATTATTTTTTGGAGGTTTGGGCTGAAAATTTGAAAGAATATATTGACATGGGCAACGAGTCTTTGAGCCAAGTTTCAGCTTTATTGGTTAACGGGAAGTGGGTCAATTAGCAGTCAAAGATTTTGCCTGCCACCCAGCCAGCCATGAACAAAAGTGAAGTTAATAGAAGGGTTTTAAAACTAGATATCGGTACAACATAGAAATGACATTTTTTTGGATTCACATCTAAACTCTAAGAATTCCCATGGGGAGAAAAAAAAAACAACACGACAGTATTTATGGCTATTACAAAACAGTACTGACAAAGAAACTATGGCCATAATCACTGTTTAAAAAGAGTGAAAAAATAATACAGAAATAAATCTAAAAAAATTGAAGTTTCAAGTTAAAATAAGCTAACCCTGTTCTTGACCCTGAAGTTGATCTTTTGAAGGTCGCCATCTTTCACAATCTCAATAGACATACAGTTTTTCTTGTAGAAGCTGAAAGCCTTGGCTTGAAGTGGTGTCATCCTTACTGTAAATTTAACATCAATTTTGTTTTTTTCTTCTGAAAATCAACCTTAACACTGAATGCACTGTGAATTAAGAAACTGTATTTTTCTATATCAGTTGGCCTATGATTGTTATTTGCTGCATTTGGGTAGTGGTCAAGACACTCAAAATGTTTTTTTGCCAATGAGATGACAATCAAGGGGACTAAAATGATATGTTCAGGTCATTTAAATTAAAATTTTGAACCAACATATGAGCTTTAGGGGTAGAGGACAAAATAATTAAAAAGCGTTGCACAAGACCACAATTCATGTTTCTCAAGTCTTAAGACATTTAGAGCTTTTTTTCAACACAGGCTAACATCCCTTCTCACAACTGTTTGCCTGGCTGGCTATTTGCATATAACTTATAAGAGTAATGTTTTTGTTTTTTATTTAGTAGCCCACTAGAAAGTTAACTTACTTGTGTCCTATAATTTGAGAACACCTCAGCCAATTTAAAAAAAATTAAACACCAGTATTGCGTATCGTTTACGAGAGAAAAAGTTGTAAAATGAAGTTTGGAATCCTTTAGGAATGCCCATGTTTTGTTTTAGTTGACTATTCAATGCACACACATAAGGGGTTTGGTCTGCAATACAGCTTTTAAGGAGATTAGTAACACACAAACAATTTTTGTAAATAAACCAGTATTGGTATCTACTTTAAATATGTCAAGACAAAATACAAATTAAATACTTTTTAAAAAAAATCTTACATTTGTATTTTGTCTTCGCATAATTTAAGCTCATCTCTGCTATTTTATTGACACCGTTTGCGCCTTATTTGGGCATACTCACAGTAGTCGTGCAACTTTGAGTCAATATCACACATGCGAGCCAACAGTAGGTACAAGCTGAAGCCGACGTCCATGTATTCATCAGCAAACTCTTCTTTCTGTTTTTTCTTTGAACAGCCACAGATTTAAGGCAATATAAAAAATAATATGATGTCTATTCAACAGTTACCCAGCAGTTATTTCAAATTATTTTAAAAAAAAGACTGTAATACTTTTAAAATTCACATGCTTTTTTTTATAATTTACAGTTCATTTAGCAAAGTAAATAGAAAAAAAAAACAACATTTACTTTAAAAAAATTAAAATTATTGGCCCCATGTAATTAACCATTGTTACATAGTCTACTTTTAAAAAATATCTGAAGCAAAAGTGTAACTTAATTTTTAAAAACCTGAAGAGAAAAAAAAAACTTCCTGATTGGATAAATTCAAAAGTATTATTACCATGACACCCTTCAACAACTTCTTTCCCTTGACTAGATTCCTGGTCGACGATAGCTTCCCTTGTGAGCCGAGTGGATCAGCCATGGCCTCTTCCAGAGCTTTGAGCTCCATGATCTTAGTCTTGTCAGTTTGGTGACGCTCGTAGCAGGTTGCCATCAAGGCCAGGACTGCTTTCTTGTCAAGCGTGTCCTTAACTTCCTGTTAAAGAGGAACAACAATGTTTGGCACAATAACCTTACTGCTGGCAAATCAGATTTGTAACACGACTTTGAGTGAATTGTAACAATAAAGTGTGTGTATTGTAACAATAAAGTGTTCATATTGTAACAAAAAAGTGTTTGTATTGTAACAATAAAGTGTGTGCATAGTAACAATAAAATGTTTGTATTGTAACAGTATTGTGTGTCTATGGTAACAGTACTGTGTGTGTATTGTAACAATACTGTGTCTGTATTGTAACAATACTGTGAGTGTATTTCAACAATATAGTGTGTGCATTGTAACATTACTGTGAATGTATTGTAACAATAAAGGTAGTATGTTGTAGCAATATTGTGTGCGTGTAGCATGTTTCATTTGATGTTTAAATCTGAGCTATGTCTATGTTGAATGCCTTTAAGCTATGAACAAAACTGAGGGCATAAATGGAAAGGTTCTATTGACATATTCATATCTTGGGCTTGTCCCTCTTTCTTAAAAAGAGTACCTGAGGTGGTACTGTTGGTTAGGGAGGGGGTAGAGACGAATACGGGCTTTAAATTTGATAAACTTGCTTTCACTTAATTTTGTATTATTGAGTTTATTTAGCTTTCTACTGGCACAGACTATTAAACTGTTACTCCTGAGCTCCGGCACAGACTATTAAACTGTTACTCCTGAGCTCCGGCACAGACTATTAAACTGTTACTCCTGAGCACCGACACAGACTATTAAAATGTAACTCCTGAGCACCGGCACAGACTATTAAAATGTTGCTCCTGAGCATCGGCACAGACTATTAAACTGTTACATCTGAGCTAAAGCCTTCATGTCCAGCCTTGTCATGCCCACCGGAGTGGACATTATGATGCTGTGTTAAAGTCTCCATGGAGACATGAAATTATGAAAAGTGCTGGGAGTCAGGAGAATGTTAAAATGTGCCATGCTAGTAATTAAGGTAATATTGCAGAAATTAGGTTGAATTTGATATATAAATTATTTCATAAAAAAAGCCAAACTAACTTAACAAAAATGTCTGCCATGAGGACTAGGCTAAATTTAAGATATTTTGTGTGAGAGCAGTGCAGCATGACACAACAGGCTTATTAAGACAGACATTTTTGGTAACCATTCTTACCAGGGCAACTTCTGTGGCACCAGGTCCATTTTCTTCAATGAGGCTCATGACCAGGTTAGAGATGCTCTTCCTTAACTCCAACGTCTGGAAATGAACGTGCCATCAAAATATTTAGGTTCACATCGAACATTTCATACTCTAAATGCCTGAGGCAAAAATATCTGTGAACAAATATTCTAAGTTTACGGGCATGTCATATGATACTATAATCATGGTTCTTACCTTTTCAATCGAGCAGTCTCCGAATTCTCCAGAGCGTAGAATAAAGTTGATGTAATCAATGATTTTGTTGTCATATATCACCACCCTGTTGTCTTGGTTACCCTGAGAGAAGAGAAATATGAAGTTAATCTAACAGAAAAATCAAAAGTAGTTGAAAGACGTTAAATTTTGAATTAATTTGTGTTGAATTCACATTTACAAAATATATTTCTACAAAGTTTGCAGTAATAAAATCTAGATTTATCAAAAAAAAATGTTTAACTGTGAACCAGACATCGGGTTGGTTTATGTTAGTCATTGTGCTGTTTTTGTTTTGAGTCAAATCAAGTTTAAGATGCAATCACAAGATTAATAAGAGGTCATAGTTCATAGGACAAAATTTTACAACAAAATAAAAATAAAAAGAAAGAATAAAAACTATATTTTCTGAGATTTCAAAAATAAAAAAAATCTCAGAAATTTGGTTGGTTCTGATAAACATTCTTTCTTAAACATTCTGACACATTTTCTTGCCCAAGCTAAAACAAAGTAACAAAGTTGTTTTTTAAAAAGTTATCTGCCTACATAATTTTATCACATATGTCATCTTTTAGGTTAAATATCTGTCAATAAAAAAAAAATTCTCACATAATTTTAAGTTATGTATATATTAATGCATTTAGTTTATCTCACATAACCATATCCCCAGACAAGTCCATTTTAAAGTATTGAAATTGAATTCATAAAAACCCATAATAATTCATATCGTCACTACATTATTACAGCCAAGCAGCTCAAAGTTTGTTATGACTTACAGCAGTGAATTCATTCATGGTTTCAAACAGCTGAATGACGAGTTCAATATTTTTGCTGTTGATGTTGGAGTAGACAACATTTAAGAACCTGGTAACCTCGGCAATGATGTCAAAGGATTTGACGTTGTCAGGTTGTTCACGTAGGTAGTCCTGGAGACAAGCACATACAATAAATATAAAGAAACATGCACATGACAGCTCATAAACATATTATTATATAAAGGAATTTGTATCACAGTAGATGAAATTTTAAAAATTACATATGTTTTTGTTGTGTTTTTTTTAAATTTTTATGTTTGAATTATGTCACATATTGACAGTGCTGTGACCATATTTTTTAAAACAAGATCTGATACAAATTTCAACTTTGCTTAAATTTCAATTCCCAGAACTTATTTCTTGGAAAGATATTGAATATGAATCTTTTATTTCTAGTTATCAGAATGACACCCTCCCCCCTAAAAAAATCCTGAAGGAAAAATTTGAGGAAAAAATGTGTGTGTGTCGGGGCGGGGGGAGGGGGGGGGTGTACGGAGATAATTACATTTTAACAATTGTAATAGAAATTATAAGGGATCTTGGTAGTTGCCCTAAATCACTGATTTATCAATGCTATCACAGCAGCTTGCGAAAATTTGTTAAAATTTTTCCCATGCCAGGCCTGGGTAATGTTTGACCAGTTGACCCAACAGCAATGAAATTGTGCTATCACAATCAGACTGACCTGCAGGTGCTTGTTTTGACCATCGCACATCCTGGCCATGACTTTCAGCACCAGCTCAATGTAGCCATCATTCCTGTATTCAAAAGCTGATGTGTCTGCTGCGATGGTGTCGAAATCCTGCTCCTGATGACAGCATTTAAAAAATGAGTTCCAAAGTTAATTAATGATATTTTTATACAAAATAATGAAAAAAAGTTACAATGACCTATATTTATCTTTATTATACATGATGATACTTACCTCCATTTTAATGGTCATGTCACCTTCACCAACGTCTTGCATCAGAGCCTCATTCTCCTTGGCCAGGGGGTTTACGAAGGTCACCTCCTTGTCCTTCTTCAAGATGCCTCCTATGCTGACCACGCCATCCTTTTTCTCCGCAACCTTCTTGTTCCTCGTCTTGATGGTCTTCTCCCTTCCCTGCCCCGGCTTGTGGTCAGGCATCTTGTCCACTTCTTTCTGTTTCTTTGGCTTCTTCTTTGGCGGCGGTTTCACACAAGATTTCGTTGTTTTTCTCGTCTAAAAAAAGAGAATTAAAATAAGAGACAAGTGTTTATTCTGTAATTTCAATATTTAAAATGATTTATCTCATTAACAATAAATGGGGAAAATTTTTAGAGAAAAATTTTATTTTAATATCTAAAAAAATAATTTAGGATACGCCTACAGTTTGGCCGATTTGTTATTTCATAGAAGAAGCTTTTGGACAGCAACGAAACAAAACACCAAGAGCCTGGCACGGCTTTATTAACAGCTTTCTTAGATCTTAGATGTAAAAATTGTAAAAAAAAAAAAAAAAACTAAAAGTCACTCAAATTGGTCCAGTTAAGAACAGGAATTGTTCATGTGTGGGAAAATACAAAAAAAAAATAAAATAATAGTAATGTATAGGAAGCACCATGTCAAGAATAGTATTTAAATGGAATGCCCAGGGCAACAGAAAATGATGGACAGTGGGTAAGAGACTAAAAAAAAAAGAAAGGCAGATAACTGGCCAAAGTGGGAATGACCTGGAAAATGAACAAAGGTAGGAGGAGCGAAATTGTGAATGGACTTTAGCCCCACTAGGACACAGACACTTGGACTTTAATCACACTTCGACAGACACTTGGACTCTAACCCCACTAGGACAGACACTTGGACTTTAGCCCCACTAGGACGGAAGCAGGGTAAATAGAATTAAAATGTGTTGGAAAAAGTTCTAAAATAGATTATTTATTGCAAATCAATAAAAAAAACCTTTTATTTGATGACTTACCCAACCACTTAGTCTCTGCTGCCTCATGGCATCTTCATAGGCTTGAATTTGCTACAAGAGAGAACATCAATTGTCTTTTTTCAACACCTTCATTTTTTAAAGTCATCACCATTTCATACTTTGAAATATTGAATAGACAAATTAATGTAGGCCTATGTGTAATTAGTCTTTTTAATTATCATTACTAATATTATATAAGTATTACTATTATTAAGATTATTAATGGCGAATTTCAAAAAGAGATTTAATGCCTAAAATGTTATGGTATGAATAAATAAATGAATAAACAAAGTCACAGCTTTAAAATAAATATGCATCAGTGAGTGATAATTTAAAGACTGTAGTATCCACATTGTGTTACCCAGCATACGGCCGGTCAGTGCTCACCCTTAACGCCATCAGTGTGACCATGAACATATTTTTGATCTTCTTGCTGTCTGAGGACTCCTTGAGCTTTGCTTCATGCTGTGTCTGAAGAGACCGCCTTCAAGGAAAAATACAATTATAAAGAGACCGCCTCCAAGTAAAAATACAATTATAGAGAGACCGCCTTCAAATAAAAATACAATTATAGAGAGACCGCCTTCAAGTAAAAATACAATTATAAAGAGACCGCCTTGAAGTAAAAATACAATTATAGAGAGACCGCCTTCAAGTAAAAATACAATTATAAAGAGACCGCCTTCAAGTAAAAATACAATTATAGAGAGACCGCCTTCAAGTAAAAATACAATTATAAAGAGACTGCCTTCAAGTAAAAATACAATTATAAAGAGACTGCCTTCAAGTAAAAATACAATTATAGAGAGACCGCCTTCAAGTAAAAATACAATTATAAAGAGACCGCCTTCAAGTAAAAATACAATTATAAAGAGACTGCCTTCAAGTAAAAATACAATTATAAAGAGACCGCCTTCAAGTAAAGATACAATTATAAAGAGACCGCCTTCAAGTAAAAATACAATTATAGAGAGACCGCCTTCAAGTAAAAATACAATTATAGAGAGACCGACTTCAAGTAAAAATACAATTATAAAGAGACTGCCTTCAAGTAAAAATACAATTATAAGAGACCGCCTTCAAGTAAAAATACAATTATAAAGAGACTGCCTTCAAGTAAAAATACCATACCTTAAATTATGCAATTTTAGAATTTAAAAAAAAAATAGAATGACTTTATTTTGTAATAATTATTTTTAAAGTCTACTGGCAACAGGTTCATTTTTATACCACACAGCATTATGGAGCTGAGAATTAACTTTTTAATACATTCTTGCATTGTCTGGGAGTTTATTTTTATTTTTATTTCTATTTAATTATTTTTCATTTTTGGTCCCACAGAAAACATTTATAACTTATACTTATATATATAAAGTAGTAAAAGAACTAGTCTACAGAAATTAGAAACTTAAAAACTAATTTTGAAATCATTGAGGAAGGGCACCAAGTAAGTTTCAAATATTTATTGTAATTAAAATAAAGTATTTATGACCAAGGCAATAAATATTTATTTAAAAAAAATGACAGCATACTTTTCTTTGATAGAGTTGGTAGACAGGGCCATACGATCTCTAACAGCCATAAAGAACACCTCCTCCCTTGTGGAGAAGAAATAGGTCAGCATGGATTGCTAAGGGAAGCAAACAAAAAATTTTTTATTGAAAGGAAAAAACCAAACAACAAATTGATAAGTTTCTCAGAAACTTGGTTCTCAGAAATGTGCAAAAACTAAATTTTACTTTACACTTGAAACTGAATAACCTGTGACAGATGATAAGTACAGAAACAGAGTGTTACCTGAACAGAATCATTGGCATTGAACAGCATGATGCACAGAAATGCCAGCACTTCTTTGGCAATCAAATCATTTCTGGAAGCCAAGTGCGGCAGGGACTTCTTCATGGCCCCTTTCTGATCGTAGAGATTCTGTAATCCTGCGATGAACTTCAGGCATCTGGTGGGGTAACAAGTTGTTTAAATTTTTTTTTTGGGGTTATTCGAAGAAATTCCTTAAATTTTAATTAATGTTAAGGAAACCTTTTATTTTTTGGTCACAATTGTTTACATGTCTGTTCATCGATTCCAATGGAGGTCTTTTATATCCTATGATAATTTTTTAATATCCTATGATAATTTTTTTTTATATATCATATGATAATCTTTATACCCTATGGTGATCTTTTATACACTATGATGATCTTTGTATCATACGATGGTCTTTTATATCCTATGATGATCTTTTATATTCTATGATACATTATATCCTATGATAATCTTTCTATTTTATGATAATCTTGATACCAACTTGCTAATCTTATTCTCCGAGGTCCTTGTGGCCCAGTCTTCGGGCAACTTCCTCTCCTCGTTGTGTATGATGGCCCTCAAGACCTGGAAGCACTTGATGTTCAGTTCGTCCATCTCCAACCGAGCAGCTTCAGTCAGTCGCTTGTACTCAAGGGAGATGCTACATGAGTATAGACAGACATAATATACATGAATGGTTAAAAAAAAATAGACATGAATGGTTCAAACATATTTGATAGATGAGCATAGTAAGACATTGTATAAATGGTTTCAACATATCTGCTAGACTGCTATAAAGCTTGAAAGAATATAAATTTTTTATAATATATATAAATATATATAAATATACTTGTACCCTACCTAAAAATGAGAGAAAAGGATAAGAATATAATTTAATTTATATGTATACTAATGTTTTGTTGTCTTTTTTTTGGTACTGATGAAGGCATTTGTCGAAATGATCTTTGTATTCTGTTTGATCTTTATTAAAGATCCACAGTTATTGTTTTATGCACACCCATTGTTTGCGTCTCATTAATCTACTTGAAAGCTTTATCACAGTCCAACACTCTAATAAGACATTGTATTAATGCTTCCATGAAAGCTTTATCGCAGTCCAACACTCTAATAAGACATTGTATTAATGCTTCCATAAAAGCTTTATCGCAGTCCAACACTCTAATAAGACATTGTATTAATGCTTCCATGAAAGCTTTATCGCAGTCCAACACTCTAATAAGACATTGTATTAATGCTTCCATGAAAGCTTTATCGCAGTCCAACACTCTAATAAGACATTGTATTAATGCTTCCAGTATATTCTACCTGCTGTAGTTAGGATGAACTTGCATGAGGATTATAAGAAGTAATAAAAATTGAGTATTTAAAAAAAAAAAAGGCAGATTGTTTACTAAACACCCGTACCACAGTTCTGGGTGCAGGAGAAACAGAAGGTACAAAATTGCTAGAACTCACGACAGCTGCTCGATTAGTTTCGCTGCTGGCAGGAATTTCTTCTCTGGCTTCTTCTCGTGAGTGTCCACAAAACACCTGACCAAGCTTTGAAACTCATCCCCCAGGGGCAGCTCCTCATCGCCATCGATGATGGTGTAAGCTGATCAGGTTATCAGACGGGAAAATCAAGTTAGTGGATAGCAGTTACCATAACTATCAACTAAATTTTCATTCTCTTTCTGAGAGACTGATGTCCAAAAATTACGTTTCTTAAAAATTCTTAAAATCTCAGCGTACATTAATCAAATATACGTTAATGACAATCCTTTCTTATGATAGAATTGGTCAAAGATGTGCACATATTTTCAGCCTTCTTATGATAGAATTGGTCAAAGATGTGGACGTATTTTCAGCCTTCTTATGATAGAATTGGTCAAAGATGTGGACATATTTTCAGCCTTCTTATGATAGAATTGGTTAAAGATGGGGACGTATTTTCAGCCTTCTTATGATAGAATTGGTCAAAGATGTGGACATATTTTCAGCCTCTGATAGCTTGAAAAAAGAAAAAATTTTGTTTAAAAATAAATTTTAAAAAAAATGAGCTCACGTCTTTTGACATTAATCTTTAGCTGTGCGGCAACTGTGTTGTGCCCAGCGAAAACGGCAGCGCAGTTTCTGGCATAAAGTCGAAACTTGGCATTGAGTTCCACCTCTGCTGAGTAGTATTCAATGTTGCCCTGTGAATAGATGGATGCCCATCACTATGTTTTAGCTGGTATTCTCTCGACAGCTTGCAGTTTGTGAAGACTTTAAAACAAATACAAGCCAAAAGGCTCGGAATTAGGTTAAACTGAACTCTAACAAAGGGTACCATGGTATTAGGTTTAACTGAACTCTAACAAAGGGTACCATGGTATTAGGTTTAACTGAACTCTAACAAAGGGTACCATGGTATTAGGTTAAACTGAACTCTAACAAAGGGTACCATGGTATTAGGTTAAAGCAATCTCTAACAATATGTACCTTGGAATTAGGTTAACGAGATCTCTAACAAAGTTCACCATAGGAACAAAATGTATAACTGGTATCAGAGACTCACCCGTCTGATTGCGCTAGACGTATCTTCTACTGTTATACCAGAGGCAAACCTTTCCATGACACTCTCAAGGTTCTGCAAAGCAGAGTGGATTGAAACATAAAATGTAAAGATACTTTGTAAATAATGACGTACACGCAATTTTCGTACACTTCAGAGTGTCTTTTTAAATGGTATATTTTCCTGATACATTCCTTGACTAATCTGATCATATTATACATACATTTGAAGAAGTTCATTTTTCATACTTACAGAGTTTGGCATGTTAGAAATGGGTACAATGACAGCCAGGCAGTTGACAAGATTTTTCATATGTTGTGGTTTGAACAAAAGTGGGCCAGCTATTTCACCAAACATCTGATGGAGACAACCGTGGTAATTCAATCAAATATCTGTTAAGGCATGTATAGTGTCTCTTACAAACATCTCTTACTCTGAAGGAATGACTGCCATGCAATGGTACATTTTTAAGGCCCTTACGTAGAGGAAATAAAGATTCCAATATGATTATTTCTACTTTCAACATCAGACAAAAGGGTTAGTGTTAAGTCCCTTTATCACTCGCTTAGCCAATCAACTACCGGTACCTGCATTTTTGTACTCGTAGAGATTCCTAGAAACATCAATAATAAGCATCTTATATCTGATCCATATTAATAGATAAAAATGAAATTGCATATATTTACTGGTCTCTATGCCCTAAGCCACAGATCTGCAATTTCAGAAATTCTCAAGTAGTGTTGTGGTGGATATTCTACACGCTATTTGAGTGTAATTGTACAGCTACTGAACTTTGGCTTGGGGTACTTTCCTAGTGTAAGAATATTTCAATGGCTCACCCAAACAACCACCACTCATTCCCCGATAAAAACAAGGTTTGGAATGACATCTGGATTAAACCCTAAAATACAGAGTTTCAAATGTCTCCCTCTCTCATATTGAATGACATCACTTTTATGTACAGTAAGTGTTTCAAATGTCTCCCTCTCTCATATTGAATGACATCACTCTTATGTACAGTAAGTGTTTCAAATGTCTCCCTCTCTCATATTGAATGACATCACTCTTATGTACAGTAAGTGTTTCAAATGTCTCCCTCTCTCATATTGAATGACATCACTTTTATGTACAGTAAGTGTTTCAAATGTCTCCCTCTCTCATATTGAATGACATCACTCTTATGTACAGTAAGTGTTTCAAATGTCTCCCTCTCTCATATTGAATGACATCACTTTTATGTACAGTAAGTGTTTCAAATGTCTCCCTCTCTCATATTGAATGACATCACTCTTATGTACAGTAAGTGTTTCAAATGTCTCCCTCTCTCATATTGAATGACATCACTCTTATGTACAGTAAGTGTCTACAAAATTAGGTCCCATCTTTATTCCGAGTGTAAAAAAAACCAAAGAAATTTGAAGGCAACTCACAACACAAGCCTTAGCCAGATGGTCAGTCTCATCGGCCTCATTGGAATGGAGATGTTGGTCCGGCAGATAGAAATCTCTGTAGAATGTCTCCAGAAATGGTAAGACTCCTTCCAGTATATACAAGACTGTGCCGTAGGTGGAGCTCTCAAAATCTGGTGCACTGGCTGAACCACTGTGGGATTTGTATAAAACAAATTACATCTTAAAAATATTAGTTTTTCATGTAACAATAAAAATGTCTGCAAATTAGCAAGTAGATCTCTATTCTAGATTTGGTTAAAATAGATAAATGTAGTATGAGAAAATTTTGAATATTTTAACTAGAAGGGAGGTAAAACAGCCACAATGTGCAGTGGTTACGTACCTTTTCTCCGGGGCAGTTTTAAGATGTATCCCTAATTTCTCAGGGTCATCTCTAATGCTGTCGGTCAGTCTGTTGATCTCAATGGACAGTGATGACAGGTACTCCCAGAGCTCACTTAATAAAAGACCAGCAAACAGTATGTCAGGAACGACAAATCACTGACGACCATATTGATCAAACCGAAGTCAACAATGTCTTATATAAAGAATATATTTATATGTATTTTTGTAGATACAAATTTTGTAGGCATTTTGTCTTAAAACAGCCATTAAAATATGTCATTGTATCTACCTTAAGATAAAGTGAAATGTTTTAAGACACCGCCTCATACAATTGTTGGTAAATATCTACACCTTATAACATACATTATCTTAATATGTATATATATTTTTACATTTATATATATGAATTTATATATATATACATATTTTCATACATATATTTGTATGTATTTAATCAAGAATCAGGTACTAAGATAATAAAAACACATGGTCCACATTGATCCTTATGTTTCAGCTTCTGTTACAACATGAATGTAAGCAATGTTCCGGTGACAAGTGAGAGTGAAATAGGGTTAGGACCACTTTAGCTTTGGTTAAAAAACAATTTTAGTGCCATGCTGTGCTAACATTTGGATAAGTTCATAATTTAAAACAAGGGCTTCAAGGTGAGAATGTGCCACGTTGTCGAGAAATAATAATAAACCAAAACATGTAGGAGTTTTTTTTACAATAACCACAATTATCAGGATCATACATCTAACCTGGAGTTAAGTTTTTTTTTTTAAAACAGAATATGTAGCCGGTTAGGATAATGTACATTCTATGTTTGTGCATTATCTTTTGTACTTTATATCTATGTACATGATATCACCTAGACTTGATCAAAAGAAGTTGAAGGTGAGACATAACAAGTAACAACAACCAACATTTTTTTTTTCTTGAAAGCATATCAAAGCTGGAATTATTCTTAAAACAGAGAAAGCGGTCATAGAGAACACAACACAACACAACGCAATGCTTAACATGGCAAAGAGCAACAAATGCAATAATAGTCATACACATGAATTGGATTTAATGTAAAAAAACGTATGCTATTTATCGCTCACATTAACTAATCCTTCCATAGTAAAATGATTTATGAAAAATACATCAAGATAGTAATTAGATATCAAGATGTAGGTCAGTATGTTAAAAACAAAGTTTGTGTTAGTTCAAAAAACATGGATAATTAAATTTTTTAAAATTGTATATGTATAGGATCAACCAATGGTGAGGATCAAATACAAGTAAAAAAAAATAATTAATTTTTGTTCTTCTAAATCTCTGTATTTAAAAAAAAAAAAAAACTAGAAATATTTTTTGGGGATTACAGCACCACCACAGGGTACACGGACAAACCTATGGTATTTCAGCAGCTAATGGAAAAGTGAGGTCACATGTCATATTGTTTTGTTTGCATCATATTGGACATAAACATTATTGGTGATGCATAGGCTCATACAGTGACTCTCAGGTTTTTTTTGGGGCTGGGGCCGGGTTTATACCAATCAGAAACACAACATGCGGTTTCAAAAAGCATTTCTCTTCATGCAACAGAGAAGACACTTGAAGCTGAAAAGTGACAAAAGCAAATTTAGAGGCTGACAAAATGTTGTACAGTAATTGAATTTTCATTTGCTTTTAAAGTTTTAACATCCCAAAAGTAACACAAAAAAAAAAAAAAAAAAAAAAAAAAAAAAAAAAAAAAAAACACCCCCCCCCCCCCCAAAAAAAAAAAAACAACAGCTTTCAGGGTTTAACTTTTCATTTAAACCATCAATAAAAAAATTTTAAAAAATTGGGGGGGGGGGGGGTATAGCTTAGTAAGGAATCCATTGGTCAAGTTCAGGGTTTTATTATTACCATTGAACCTTCATTACCAGAAATCAAGACTAAAAAGTGTATGAAAATTCACCGGGGCCACATTGTAAGATGCTTATTCATTGATCTCATTCTTCTCTTTGGGTTGCAAGGGGCCACATTCTAAGATGCTTATTCATTGATCTCATTCTTCTCTTTGGGTTGCAAGGGGCCACATTCTAAGATGCTTATTCATTGATCTAATTCTTCTCTTTGGGTTGCAAGGGGCCACATTCTAAGATGCTTATTCATTGATCTCATTCTTCTCTTTGGGTTGCAAGGGGCCACATTCTAAAATGCTTATTCATTGATCTAATTCTTCTCTTTGGGTTGCATGGTAACAAGAGAGAGGAACCTGATGCTTTTATGATAAACTGCAAACTGACCAAAATAATAATCACATTGCTTTGTTTCCTTACAGTTAGTTCAGGACTTAAGTAAAAACTTTTATCTAGTTTTCACAGGACACCACATTCCAAATATAATGACATATTAACAAATTTGGGTAGTCCTATGTATGTTCCTATGGCTTAAAACATAACTTAATATTGCCAATTGTCCCATTTTTAAAAAATAATATTAAAAAAAAACATGATAATATACCAAAATATCAAATATTTTTAACAACATTTTTTAAATTATAACAAGAGTTTTTTTAAAAACCTGCCCATTTTGGTGGAACTAAAGAAAACTTGCTAAATTTCATTACTATGCAAAGCAAAGGTATCAGCCACCACATAAAATTCGTGAAGCTGCCACTAGATCAGAAAAGTAAAATTAATTCATGTATTCATTATATTTATCCCCCCCCCAACTACATTTTAAGCAAACTTAATTTAAATAAATAATAATAATTTATCAATAAAGTATATATAAACTAAATAAAGCTATTGTAGATCCCTGCCCCTCCCCTAAACCCTCCCCCCCGCCCCACCCAAAAAAATTGACAAATGGAACGTATGCTCACGCCATTCTGTCTAAAAAGCATCATGCAAAGACGCACAGATGAAGGACTACCTACATGAATAGTCATCTAGTCTAACAACCACTTCAGTTTCATTACTAGTCTAAAACGTGTTCACATCCAAGCAGCTTACATACACTGAACTCTCATGTCCTGGTGAATCATGCGCTCCTTGGCTAAAGAAACGGAATTTAGATGAGTAAACGTTACATGATGTCAGATGCATGTTTCATTGACATGGAACACCAAGGCCTGCCAGGGACTTGATGAGGTTTTTCAAACATGGCAGACTAATATATAAACAAATCTAGTGCTAGTCTAGTCAAAGATACAACATGAAGGTGCTGCTGCCGCCGCATGGACGCTGGGACATCATCGCTTCGATGAGTTTGCAAGACTCAGGGTTGCATACTAGAGTAAAAAAAATATTCTGAATCAATTAGATTCTTCTATTTAACTGATTCCGCTGGCGGGTTTGGAATATTTATTTTAAATATGAGCTCAGTGTGTCATATTCTTTGATTAGCTTATAATATCTATTAATAGAGAAAAAAAAATCAATTCATATATGGTGTGTTTCTGTTTAAAGTTAGCTTAAGACATTTCAGTCAAGTAATAAGATTTATCATCTTGCCCTATGACAAAGAGTGTCCAACTTTTTATTAAAAGAAAAGACTAATGGAGAAATTTTCTAAGGAATTTTCAAAGGAGGTGAATGCAATTTTTGACAGTGCTAAGGAGAAGTAGGCATTTACAGATTCTCATTTGAAGACATAATGACTGAATGACATTCATTTTCCTTCACAAATGCTGAAATGTAACTTAAATTATTTAACTACAAATAAAACTATATTTTGAACTGGATACAGAACTCTTAAAATGATGAGAATATTATTTCCCTAAGATTTGCAGTGCATCAAGCCTTCCGCAGCTTATATTTCTAAATGAGAAAAATTAAATGCAAAGATAAATATCTCTGTGTTTTTGTCCCTTAATAAGCTGTTACCGGTTTGCCAGATCATGGTAGCACGCGCAGGATTTTTAGGCGCCAAGTGCTCTCATGGCACAGAAGAACAGTTGCATGGCCCAAGCGGCTTTTATTGCCCGTATTTTGCATTGCTCAACCAAATGCCATGTCTATTGGCTCTGCTCAACTGCACTAGTCATGCACGCAATCAACAAACTATACACACAGTCCCACAACACTGTCCGAAAATGCTTCTACTTCTGTCTTTACCCATGGTAAACGTCATGTTGGGGGCGCTCGTACTGTGGTCTGGAAGTAAGTTTGGGTTTGTTATTTTAATTTATGTTATTGATATTATCATTTACACTTGAAAACAAAATTAAACTGGGCAGAACCGGATGCATAAATTAAATAAATGGTGCAGCATTTTAAAAAAAAATTGTTCTTTTCCAGGACCTGACCAAAAGTGTTGCTGACAACTTGAGTTGGCAGTCATGATCAGTCAATTTATATTATCTCAAATATTTGTCATGATTAAAGCAGAAAGCTTAACGCCGTAAGATTTAAAGAAGTTAATCGGTTCAATGAAGCAATTTTCAGCAAACAAAAAAAAAATAAATTCAATTTATAGAAAGTCCCTTACATTTGAAAAAAAAAAAAAGTCAAAATTCCCCCATCAAATATCACATTCAAAAGTGTTGTAGAACAATTAAAGTTTGAATAATACATCACAAAGTTGGCCAAGGGCATCAGGGGGTCAAAAATTGTTTTTCCATTGAGTGGAGTTGCTCTCTTACTGATAAAATATAGTTCACTAGGGTTTAACCGAGTGCAGCTATTTTTACTCCAGGTCCGGCTGTCCCAGATAGGACAAAGTGTCACCAAAAAAAAAAAAAAAAAGTGTTAACTTCTCACTTTCTATAAAAAAACAGACCCACAGACAGTCCTACGGCCTACCTGCTGGCTTTTAAACAACAGACCCACAGACAGTCCTACGGCCTACCTGCTGGCTTTTAAACAACAGACCCACAGACAGTCCTACGGCCTACCTGCTGGCTTTTAAACAACAGACCCACAGACAGTCCTACGGCCTACCTGCTGGCTTTTAAACAACAGGCCAACAGACAGTCCTACGGCCTACCTGCTGGCTTTTAAACAACAGGCCAACAGACAGTCCTACGGCCTACCTGCTGGCTTTTAAACAACAGGCCAACAGACAGTCCTACGGCCTACCTGCTGGCTTTTAAACAACAGGCCAACAGACAGTCCTACGGCCTACCT